GAATAATTAGCTCTGCAAAGAGGACATGGGAACTGTCTCATTGTTGTGTTGGACTGTGCAAGGCCTTGAGGTAACAGAGAGAAATAATTTGAAATATAAAACAATCGATATTAAGCATCCCCAAAGACACACATGGGTATTTCCCTCAAGATGCCCACACACGCTCCCCACAGGGGCAGGCACAGCCCGTTTTTGTCTGGCCAGGTATCAGTTTGGGCCTTGTCTTATCTGCCACCCGCGCCAGGTCCCCGCGAGGGCTCTCCCGGCGGAGCTGATAACGGCATCCATGAATCGCCCTTTTCAGCCCCGCGCGCCGTGGGCAGCCAAGCTTTATCTGCAGCCTCAAGGAAGGAAAAGCAGAAACCAGCTAAAAGCCTTTCTTTCCCCCCGTTCTCTGATGTTCTGGAAGGCACTTGGGGAGATTAATATTGCGGCGGGGCCCTCCTCCTCCTTCCCCTATCCCCCAAAATCCCCGTTGCGACCGAGCGTGCTGATAAACTTCAAAATAAAAACAGATGTGGCAGGAAGAATGATTTATGGACTCCCCCATGTGCTCCTGTTTCTACGTAATGCCAGGGGTTTGGGGCTTTTTATTTTCATTTATTGTCCACTTAGAATTATTCAATCTATTCCTGCTTCTTAATATGAGCAGGAAGAGAGGTGGGAACAACACCCAGAGCTAAAAATGTGAGCCTGAGGAGAGTGGAGCACGGCAGAAATGGGGTGGGAAATGCCAGAAATTCAAAGTGGAGGTTGCACATCACAGATGGGAAAAAACAGGGAAAGGAAGGAAGAAGAAGGGGAAAAAAATCAGGAAGTTGTTGGAAAAATCAAATTAATTTTAAAATTGCAAAAAATCAGCTCTGTGTTGGTCAATGAATGGCAAGTGAATGGAAATGGGACATGTGGGAGTGAGAGGAAAATGCAGTGAGAAAAAATAAATTGGACATGTGAAGATAAGAACAGGGAAAGGAAGGAAGAGAAAGGGGAAAAAAACCCAGGAAGTAGTTGGAAGATCATTAAATTTTTAAAATTGCTAAAAATAAGCTCTGTGTTGGTCAATGAACAGCAAGTGAATGGAACTGGGACATGTGGGAGTGAGGGGAAAAATGCAGTGAAAAAAATAAATTGGAAATGTGAAGATAAGAAATTAAATCCATACCAGGATCTTCCAGCTCTTCCCTGTCACAGGTGAAGACATAAAAAGTGTGTTTGGAGAAACTTGGAACACAAACTAAGCAGGGAATTGAGGTTTGGGAGCATTAATTCCTCTTTTTGAACAATCTTGGGATAGTTGTCATTTGGAAAGCTTCACTTCAGCTGCCTTAAATGGGAGCTGATAACGCTAATTGCTGATATCTGGTCATTAAAATCTGCAATAAATAATTAGGTCTGAAAAGAGGAGATGGGAATTGTCTTGTTGTTGTGTTGGGTTGTGCAAGGCCTTGAGGTAACAGAGAGAAATCAGATAAAATATAAAATAATCGATCTTAAGCATCCCCAAAGACACACATGGATATCTCCATCAGTGCCGAGGTAAATAATTAATAAATTAAGTGTAAAAAAAGAGATTTTGGTGGGGAAGAGAGGCTTGAACTTGGGGGAACGCTCATCCCGAGCCGCGCTTGTGGTGCTGGAGCAGCCCCGGTGCATTTCTGCCTTTCTGGCATTTCATGCCTGTTTTCACTCAAGTGTTTATTTCTATAAACAGACCTAACCTTAGAAAACAATATAATGACATCCTTCCTGGGGGAGCAGGGCGGGCAGGAGTTTCCTCCAATTCCTCCGGAGCGTTTCCGCCGGGTTTTGATTTTCAATAATCCGAGGGGTAAACGGCCGCTTTTGAACTCTGCCCTCTGCCCTTTTTATTTGGCAACCTGGGCAAAGATCAAGCCCAGAGTCAAAAGTGTCAGCAAAAATGGCTGGGATTTGGGAGTGCTTCCCTTTAGGAAAGGCCTCGTGATTATGTTTACAGAATTCATTACAAACTCGGGGCCCAGATTAAAAGCAAATGTCTAAGTGTCCTGTGGGGAATTGCGGGCTTGGGGATGCAGCTTCCGAGGGATTTGTGGGATCTGGAGGGGTTTGGGAGCACCCCCAGGAAAAAAAGGAGTGCTGGAGGTGAGGTGGGGATGTGGGGTCATTGAATGCGCTGGAGGTAAAAGTGAGGAAAAAAGAGGTAAAAAAAGGGGATTTTGCCGCTTTAAAACCAAGACCAAGATGGAGCAGCTCAAAGTGGAGACACAGCTCTGGAAATGTCTGGTCATGGAGCAATCCCTGGTGCGAAGGGAAACCAGTCCTGGTGTGAAATTGGGACAGTCCAAGGCAGAGAGATTTCACCAGAAAACATTGAAACCGCCACTTTACCAAAATCTGCACTTCTAAAACAGAGAGATGTCACCAGAAAATGTTGAAACCAGCACTTTGTCAAAATCTGCGCTTCTAAACGAGGGATTTCACCAGAACATGCTGAAAACAGCATGGTATCCAAACCTCAACCTCTAAAGACAGAAGTTTCACCAGAACATGCTGAAAACAGCATTTTATCAAAATCTGCACTTTCAGTCTCATTCTGAGCACATGGAAGAGCCATTTAGCAGCACCATCTGCACAAAAGGGCAAAGCAGCCCCAGAGTTATTTATTCCCCAATTCCTGCTGCTCCACCCCAAGCCCACAGATGAATTTTGCCATCCCACCTCCTGTCCTGGTGCACCAAGGCCTCTGTGCCACAGAGCCACGGCTCAGATGATGCTCCAGCATCCCCGTGGGTCATGGAACGGCATTTTCCATTCTGAAGGAGGCTCTGGGAACACCAGAGAGGCAAATAATTTAAATAAGTCTCTTTTTTTTTCTGCAAGAAGAGGGTAATTGCTGCTGACAGGGCTCCTGTGCAGCAGTGGGGGCTCAGGAAGAGCTGGAAACCATCTCAGAGCTGATTAGCACGAGGGGTTATCACAGGGAGCCCCGCTCCACATCCAGCATCGGCCACAGGGAGCTCGTGGGCATTCACTGATTTGGGATGGGGTGAGGAGGAAGTGGGTGAAAAGCAAATTGTTTGAAGTTTGGTTCCTGAAATGGCTGGAGACAACTTGAAGGGGTTTTTTTGGTTATTATTATTTTTTCGTGTTAACTATTTTTTTGGTTTAAACTATTTTTTTGGTTTTAACTATTTTCTGATTTTAACTATTTCAGTTCAGAGTCTTTTGTGACAACACTTGGGGAATTCAAAGATTTTTTTAATTTTTTACTGAGGTTCCCAGGATGTCGCTGGTGAATTCCCAGTGCTTGGAATCCTTTGGAGCAAAACTGCTTTGGATATCCCTGACAAGCCTGAGACAGGGAATGTCCTGAAAAACCTCTTGGAATTTCCTTAATTACTGATTAGCCTCTTGGAATTTCCTTAATTACTGGTATCAGTAATTGCCTTAATTACTGAGATCAGAGAACCACAGGTTTGGGTTGGAAAGGACCTTAAAATTCATCCCCATGGTCAGGGACACCTTCCACCATCCCAGGATGCTCCAAACCCACCCAGCCTGGCCTGGGACACTTCCAGGAATGGGAAAACCACAATGTCTAAGAAAAAAAAAAAATCTAAATAAAAAATAATTCTACTTTCCATGTTTAAATTCTTGTGTGCGGTTCCCAAGAACCACTGATCAACGTGGAACTGA